GTAATATACAATTGTTACTACAAGTAATGGTCAATTGTTACTACAGGTAATATACAATTGTTACTACATGTAATATACAATTGTTACTACATGTAATATACAATTGTCACTACAGGTAATATACAACTGTTACTACAAGTAATATACAATTGTCACTACGGGTAATATACAATTGTTACTACAGGTAATATACAATTGTTACTACATGTAATATACAATTGTTACTACAAGTAATGGTCAATTGTTACTACAGGTAATATACAACTGTTACTACAAGTAATATACAATTGTCACTACGGGTAATATACAATTGCTACTACAGGTAATATACAATTGTCACTACAGGTAATATACAATTGTTACTACAAGTAATGGTAAATTGTTACTACTGGTAATATACAATTGTTACTACAAGTAATGGACAATTGTTACTACAGGTAATATACAATTGTCACTAAAGGTAATATACAATTGTTACTACAAGTAATGGTCAATTGTTACTACGGGTAATATACAATTGTTACTACAAGTAATGGACAATTGTTACTACAGGTAATATACAATTGTCACTACAGGTAAAATACAATTGTTACTACAAGTAATGGTCAATTGTTACTACGGGTAATATACAATTGTTACAACAAGTAATGGTCAATTGTTACTACAGGTAATATACAATTGTTACTACAAGTAATGGTCAATTGTCACTACGGGTAATATACAATTGTCACTACAGGTAATATACAATTGTTACTACAAGTAATGGTCAATTGTCACTACGGGTAATATACAATTGTCACTGCAGGTAATATACAATTGCCACTACAGGTAATATACAATTGTCACTACAGGTAATATACAATTGTCACTACAGGTAATATACAATTGTCACTACAGGTAATATACAATTGTCACTACAGGTAATATACAATTGTTACTACAAGTAATATACAATTGTCACTACAAGTAATGGACAATTGTTACTACAGGTAATATACAATTGTCACTACAGGTAATATACAATTGTCACTACAAGTAATGGACAATTGTTACTACAGGTAATATACAATTGTTACTACAGGTAATATACAATTGTCACTACAAGTAATGGACAATTGTTACTACAGGTAATATACAATTGTTACTACAGGTAATATACAATTGTCACTACAAGTAATGGACAATTGTTACTTTAGGTAATATACAATTGTTACTACAGGTAATATACAATTGTCACAACATGTAATATACAATTGTTACTACAAGTAATGGACAATTGTTACTACAGGTAATATACAATTGTCACTACGGGTATTATACAATTGTCACTACAGGTAATATACAATTGTCACAACATGTAATATACAATTGTCATTACAGGTAATGGACAATTGTCACTACAGGTAATATACAATTGTTACTACAGGTAATATACAATTGTCACAACATGTAATATACAATTGTTACTACAGGTAATATACAATTGTCACAACATGTAATATACAATTGTCACAACATGTAATATATACTTGTCACAATAGGTAATATACACTTGTCAGCTCAAGTAATGAACAATTGTTACTACCCAGTTCAGCCTAGTGGCACAGTGTAAGCCATCTATCATTCGCCGAGTAGTTTATAAATAAATAAACGCTGCTCGGACTGATAAGTATGATATAAATACTATATAAATAAATATAAATACTTTTAATAGTTATTTAGGACTACGATTACCAAATATTATCTTCAATATATCATAACATTCGCCGAGGCGTATTTCTCCAAATTTCGTATAAATAAAAAAAACGACATAACTCGACAATTGTTTTAATCTGTGATGACCTTCACATTTGTGATACAGCAACGCTGATTGGTGGCGCGCTCAATCAAATGGCTCAATTTAGCTGCAGTGAAATACAGCTTTTCCTTACACGATCAAAAACTGGTTCGTTGTCCGGTTATGAATGGCCGGCTTTAGCGAAACCGTGCGATTCGGACGATGTGTAATTTTATACAATAATAAACATTAATACCGGTACTTTTATTTCACACCTAGCACCGTCTTTGTGAATCGTACAACATACGAGAATCGCACAGTATACTATAACATTGAAGAGTGCTGCAAAGGCTGGGCTGGAGAAAACTGTGACATACGTAAGTTACAATTTCAAACGTCGTCAACTTTACAGACGGGAATCGCAAATGTCCGTCATGTTATGGGGTGTATGCCGTCCAAAAGCGCCCGCAGCGGCGATGGGCTACATTTGATGATGAACGTTGTACTGTATTCTTCAAATGTAAGCATACAGCAAAGAGCTGCAATGCAAACGAATAATTTCGGGAAAAAATGGTTCACGTTTTTATGGTTACCCCATAAAACATAAATATTCATGTTGTCGCCAGGTTTGCGATGACAATACTATATCTCAGAATACTAGTATGACCGTCACGTTAAGTCATTGTTCATTTTTCATTCTGAGGTAAAGTCAATGTTCATTTGTCATTCTGAAGTGAACGTGAATTAAATACATATGGAAAGTCTATCAATGTTGTTTGTAATAACATGCGTAACCCAGTCGTCATGACTGTGAGTGAGCATGAGTTTTATGGAGTGGACTACTACTCGAGTCAGGCACAAAGCAAACTATGTACCACTAAACGTATATAGGGAAACGCCCAAAGTTCAACCAGTGTCACCTGCAGGCCCGTAGCCAGAACTTTTGAATAGGGGGTTCGAAACAACAATAATATATTTGATGTGAAACGTGTGAATTTTATTATATTCAAAAAGTGAGCTCTGTTACAGACATTTTTATATTCTCGGTTTTAAATTCAATTGGTTTACTTTGTGTTACGTTGGTAAGTTATTTCACATAACATCTTTGAACTATTTTACCATTTTGAGAAGGGGTCCTGAGCCATTCCCCACCCGCAGACAAACATACCCACACCCATGATCCACCACGGCAAAATGTTGTACACAAAAAAGACAAGACTGTACGTATCTTAGCATTATTGTCTAAGCATTTTAAGGTAGAATGCTACTCACGAGGTTTTTCGCTCTTTGCAGATGTTCGCGCACATAAAAGTGACACGATTTCATGTCGAAATATGTCTACAATTATTCATTTTAATATTAGTAAATTCTGTATTATGTAA